AGAGCTGGCTGTACTTAAATGCATCTGTGGTGCTCATAGGTTGTCCAGAAAGGAAGTCTGATTTCAGTTTTTCACACAAGTAAAAAGTTGGCTTGGAAATTAAAAAAAAAAATGAACAAACAATGATTTATGCATCAGTCAGTAATATAAGTTGAAGAATGTATCACAGAAAAGTAAAATTGGCAGGAGGGTTCCTGCAGTTGTGATCTTAACAAATTGATATGGATCTGGTTTGGTTATTTATTATCTCTAATCCTAGTGGTCTACCAGGAAGGAAGGAAAATAATTACTAATGACAGATTTTAGTTAGCGTTAATTTATTGGTGGTGAGAGTAATTGTGTGTTCCAGGTGTTCATCAGTTTAGCAAGACAAMATTTAACTATCAAATGTTCCAATTATAATTTGATTAATTAAACATGATTAAGCTGTAGAGTTTAAAAACATGCAACTAATTATATATAATTACACTCATAGTGGCTTTATGGTATGCATCATACAAGATAGATGTGATATTCAAAGTGTTATGTATGATTTTGTAAATATGCTCTTTGTAAGAAACTCCCTTATCCTTATACATTAAAATATAAATATTGACAGCTTCTGTGATTTTAAAAGCCAGAAATCTACTGTTGGTAAGTGCAGTGAGATACTGAATTAACGAATCAGTTAAGAACCATAAAAAAGAAAGAGAGGAGAGTGGAATCTGCTTGGAATTTGCAAYTCAGTGGTCTGAGTCTTGCGTGGTTTGGCCAAAGGTGGTGGTTCTTTGCTACTTAAGTTCTTCTGTTTTTTGATGCTGTGTGATCAGTGTTTGTCGGGAGCTGCAGGTGGTTGGGTTGCCCTTAGGAGCAGCTTCCTGGAGGAAATTTGGTGAGGGCAAGGGGTGTGTCCTGGAACATGGTTTGCAAGGCTTTAGGAACATGGTTTGCAAGGCTTTAGGAACATGGTTTGCAAGGCTTTAGGAACATGGTTTGCAAGGCTTTAGGAACATGGTTTGCAAGGCTTTAGTTGTGGGTTTGCTGGGTCTTCCAGAGAGGGACAGGAATGGCCTTACAAAATGGCGGACGGGGCCAGACCACTCACAAGATGGCGGCCGGGGTCACAAGATGGAGGCTGGAGTCAGCCACTCACAAGATGGCGGCCGGGGTCACAAGATGGAGGCTGGAGTCAGCCACTCACAAGATGGCGGCCGAGGTCACACAAGATGGCGGCCGGGGGCCCAGCCACTCCCAAGATGGCAGCTAGTCTCAGACGCTCACTAGATAGCGGCCGGGGTCCAGCCGCTCACAGGATGGCGGCTGGGGTCACCCAAATGGCGACCAGGGCCAGCCACTCATAAGATGGCGGCTGGAGTCAGCTGCTAAAAGATGGCGGCGGGGTCAGCCGCAAGATGGCGGCCGAGGCGGCACAAGGTGGCGGCCAGGGGCTGTTGACCCACACAAGATGGCGGCCGGGGGGGCTGTTGGCCCACACGAAATGGCGGCCGGGGGYTGTTGGCCCACACAAGATGGCCCATGGAGGGCCGGGGCCCACAGGAGATGGCRGACGGGGCCCAGTAGCCGGATAGAAGCACATCTTTCCTTATTTGTCTCCGCTGTCCTGTGTGGGAGCTCTCAGGAATTTAGAGCACCTGCTGCTCAGACGGTGTTTTACATATGTCATGGGTACACAGATGAAGGGAATGAAGCCTCTTCTGTCCTTCCAGCCTTGACATTTGGATTTACGACCAAATTTCCATCCGGTTGGAAATCTGCAATAGTATCAGGCAACGACTTGAAATCCGTAGGAATACCACGCAACTCAGGTAAGAAACAATTTTTTTTCCTTAGTCGTCAGTGAGCATTACTCTAATCATTCACTCTTCAGGCTGGGCCTCACTCTTCCCCCTGGCCGGGCTTGGTTCCTGCTCTTTTTTTCCTACTGGTTGCTGGAGTAATAATTTCTGAAGGTCTGGAAATGGCATTTAAAAGTTTCATCTTTGTGTGCAATAAATTACAATGAAAATAAAGAGAATGAAAATAAAGTTTTATTCTTTGAATGCGGTTTTTATACTGCTCTCTAACTGGAAGGTTAAAAGAGCAGAATAATATTGACTAAGTGTCTGGYCTTTTCTTAAGGGCTCTTGAGAGTTAATCAGCTTGTGCCCTAAACGATGTTTGCTTTTTGGTTTAGAGGGGTGGGGGAAGGATTCACCTGGCTTTTCTGGCTTTGAGAGGATGGCAGGGCGGAGCAGGTTTGCCTGTGCCTTGATGGGATTAGGATGGACTGGGATGATGTTTTCTTTTTGTTTAATTGACCATTGCAGGTTGTGAACAGCCCATTAGCTAATGTATTTATGTGTCTTTAGGCTACTGCTGAGTGCTTGTCTCTTCATCTTGCGTTTGTTACGAAAAGCTTAAGGTAATTTGAGTGAGTTTGGGGAAAGCACAGCAAAAAGGCTGAGAGGTGGGTTTTCTTRTTGTGCTTATTAATATGGAGCTATAACTCGAAGGCTTTTTTCAAGAGCATTAAAATGCATTAACGGAACCTCAAAAGAAACAATTCTTAATTCCTATTACCTAAGCGCTCTATCACTGAAACTTTGTTCTTGAAAAATGAGCAGGGCAATACGACTCTTTATTGCCCCATGAGATGTAAGGATGGCTTGTTTGCATTCAGGTACAGTACTAGTTGTAGATGTTAGCAACATTAAGATTTTCTTTTTATGTTGATATGCTCACATAAGCGTGTGTATTGTAGCAGGATTAGTTGGTTTTCTTTTAGAGGGTTTTTCTCTGATAAAAACCCCACAGACAACTTCCCAGACAGCCACATTTTTCTCTATGCCTTTTAAAAATCCATCCAAGGAACCTGTTTATCTAATCTGGAATAAATTGATCCAGATGGAAGGGATCTTCCTGTCTGCCCTCGGGCTGCCACCTTCACAAGCAGCCTGCAATTATTTGTGGTTATAATTAATAAATATCCCAAAACGGGGGTTTGGTCTCTGCTTTCCACTATACCCTGATGGCATTAAATGAAGTGAGATTGTGATGGAATGGGGAGAAAAAGGAAGGTTTTAAAACAGGCTTGACCTTTGAGCTCCAGTTTGCTGCTTTGAGAAGGAAACCGCTGCTCTCGCCTCACCATGTTTTCCTCCCTATTCCAGGTTTGTGGCTTTGCCTGTTGAATGATGTGTGTGGCAGCTGGACTGGTGTTTTTAATCYTGCTCATTTCCAGTGTGCAGTCCCGTTTTCCTCCCAGGGAAGCTGTTGTCTGGTTTTATGGAGCTTTGGTGCTGAGGTGTGGATGCTGTTGCTCTCTGCTGTCTTGTGGGGGAGAGCTTTGCCTTCAGCTTGCTGGGACCAGCTTAGTGGTGGAGCAAGCTCAGGGTTATACTTGCCCAAAGCCTACTGAAAAGAAAAAGAAAGTACAGCAAAATGCATGAAAACCTTGGAGAAATGACTGAGGAAAGGGCTGAGTAAATAATGAAAGACAATTACTTGAGAACACAAAGTCAATGGCTGTAAAATGGGTGTTAATACACGAGCCGATTTGTGRAGACTTGCTCTTGCTTCCAGTATGTGGTTAATAAAAAAACAAGAAAAACCCAAAACCTTGAGAAGGTTTTTATTCGGTTGGTGATTATAACCAGGTTTGTTTGAGCAGAGAGAGAGAAGAAATAGAAAGAAAAAAAAAAAAATCAAAGCAGCTGCCCCGAGGCGCTGTTCCGGGTGTGTCAGGAGGAACAATGGACCTCGTACCACACCGCAGCCCTACACACTTAGATATTAAATTGTCTCCCCTGAAGCAATCAATGGATCACTTACATACATATTAGTGTGTATTTCCTGGTTCTTTTGAATTTTTAAAATTTATGTCTTTGCAGCAGGTGGTTTTGGGCCAGCATTTTGCTGCCTCTGGAAGAGGAGAACCGCRAGCAACACAGTGCAGCTCTCRGGGGTGCAGCAGGATAGATGACAGCCCTGCCAAAATTCGTGCCAGATTGGTGAGAGCAGAGAAAGAARTTGAGAAGTATACAGATGCTGTTAGTCATCAGGGTTTGCATRTTTGAATATGCACGATTTGCTCACCCAAGGGACAGCAAACACTACAAAGCCGGAGTTTTAACCTGGCAGGTCTGTCTGGGTTACATCCTCAGCGAGTTTGGTGGTATTTAATAGGTCTTGGGTGTATGAGTGAGAACAGGATGTGAGCTGCTCTTAAGCAAAGACAAAGCAGTTAAATACAAATTGTGGAAAGGACAGTCCTTACTGTTGCCTGGTTTGAGATGTTTTGTACCCAGGGGTGTGTAGCAGCTTTTGCTTGGAAATGGAAACACTAAATCACAGCGTGTTTTTGTGGGACCTGCAGGTGGCAGTAGGAGCTAAGTTTTACAGAAAAAAGGTTTTAATCTAGTGTCCTGCACTGTTGCTTGTCGTATGACATACTGGGATCTCTGTGAAAGCCTTCTCTTAAAACCAACACTCCACGTTTTTAAGGATTTGTCAGCTCCTTTCAGGTGTGGTGTTTTCAATAAGTAATGATACTTCCTGYTCTCTCTGGAATGCCCTGCACTGCTTTTAGTCAGGGGAAGGGGGGGTTCTGGTTGTTATTTCACAGCACTGGCACTGATCTATAGATGTTCACTGAGCTATGCTTTTATTTACTGTGTTCCAACTGGGTAAGTAACTTACGTGGTATATTATTAGTGACATATACCACAATCAAAATTGTGTCTATTTTTATTTAGGAAGTGGGTCAATTGCTCTAAGTTAACTGTGGTACTTGTGTTACACTGAAAGACCTTGAACAGATCGGAATGAACTTAAATAGAGGGCATTTTGGCAATCTCAGTTTGGTTTCTAGTCACTGAGAAGACTTTAATTCARTGATTACCAGAGAAATAATGAACAGACTGTTGTCCCTGTGCTGTA